GCCTAGTGAAAAAGTATCGTAGTGATCGACCCCGGAGAGATTTGTTCCGGCTGGTACACGATGTATTGTTGCCAAGTGCCCACTACGCCATAGTTGTTCCTGTCGCATACACCCTTCTCACGTATACAGAAATTCTGCAACACCGAAGACTCGAAAGACAGAAACTTCCACACCCAGGGCTGAACATCGGCAAAGAATGCACTTCTATAGGCTTCTGCCACGCAATATTACATGGTCTACGTAGACTCCTTCTACTACATGACAATCATACAGTCACTGCTTGAAGAGAGAGAGATAAAGATACAAGGAAAGGCAGGGAGGTTAACCAGACGCACATCCGGTTTGCTACCCTGCACTGGGGAAGGGATAAAGGGGAGAAAAGAGGTTGCACAAAGATGAGAAGGTACACACAATCACGAGCACCATCGGTGAGCACACACAGTTCACAGGCGGTCGCTCAGGTTTGAAACTGCTTCCTAAAACAGTGACGTGGCTCTGTGGTAGGTCACCTGCTTGTTACGCAAACGGCCTTGGGTTCAATTCTGACTTCGGACCGATCATTTTTATTACAAATTTCATATGTATCTTTCTCTCATTTTCAGTCGCGGAGAAGACTATGATATTTCGCCAAAGCTAGAGTTTTCATTGAAATGCGCTTCCCTATTTTGTTTTGCACATTCTACGTGCCATAAATGAAAAGCGGCCGTAACAGAGTCTTCACATGCTTCACCGCATAATAATCTTGATGCGCGGAGCTGACTTACGTTTCCCCATCTTCACGAGATGGCTATGATGCTTCTGTTGCAGTCTTCTGCAATATACGCTTTTTTTTCGGGGCTCGCATGTTTGAAGAGAAAACGTAGCTATAAAAAGTTTGAATGTAGCAGGGGATCGAACAGCTTAATGACAAGCTGCTGAGATCTAATTGGCGTACGTGGCTTTTTTGCCCGGGAAAAATACAAAGCGTCTATTTCATGGTGCATGTTGTGTTAATTCGTCGCTTCGACCGGTATACAACGGGTCCCCGAAATATCCATGGCTGAGAAGCGCTAGTTAAGATGATTTTACGTAAGCCACATTTACGCCTTTACCTTTGGTTTTTAAAACAAATTTTTCTCTTTTTTCACGGCTATATCAAATAGATTTTAAATAGAACCCATACGTTTCCATGCGTATGCATTTACTATAGCACTATCTGCTCAGTTAAAGTCCACCACCATGGTGTAGCGGCTACGATAGTGTAGCGGGTTGCTGTTCACAGGTCGCGGTATACCGAATCCCGGCCGCAGCGGCCGTATTCTCGACGGATACTAAAATGATTGAGGCCCGTGTACCTAGATTTAGGTGCGCGTTAAAGAACGCCAGGTGGTCAAATATTTCCGGATCCTTCCACTTCGGCTTCTCTCGCAATCATATCACGGTTTTCCGAGGTTAGAGGCCAACAATTAATAACTAGTATAATCGGTAAAATACAGTCTACTGGGTGACATACATAACTAGACAAGCCGGCGCACATGTGGGTGAAAGAAGAGATGTTTACTTGTGAAGCAATGCACGGAGACAAGGCACAAAAGAAATGAAAAAGGCACCGCTGCACTCCCAACTAGTTTATTTTGCAGAAAACATGGCTGGTATGCAATGTGACAGCATGTACATTAGAAGGGACGATTGGGCGAGTCAGTGTGCTTCCATCTTGAACGAAAATTAGCGCGACGAAAACGGGGACGGGAAAGAAGAGACAAAATTCGTCTTTTTTTTTTTCGTCCCCGTTTTCGGCGTGCTAATTTTCGTTTGAGATCATAGTTTATCACCTGTGACAATGGAGTTCAAGTCATAACGTTTGTCGGTGATCTCCCAGAAATGACATTTCACCATGGCTTACACTAACCAATGCTTGGCTGATACAATCATCATATTTTTTTCCTTATATATGTAAGGCCCCGATAACTTCCCTGGTCTATTTTGGAAGATCACCGACAAACTTTGTAACTTGAACGTCACTGTGACACGTGGTACGCTATCATGTATGTTAACCAAGTGTTTCTGCGAAATAAACTAGTTACGAGTGCAGCGGTGTCTTATTTGATTCATTTCGTACCGTGTCTCCATGCGCTACTTCACAAATAAACATGGAGTATCACAGATTCGCCCAACGTCCTACGTTACTAAACGAAGACAAATAATGCTGGATCCCCCCAGCCGTGCGACGGATTAGGCGACTGGGTGGCTTACAAAATGCTTTATGGAGGTTTAATCCGGAGATTCAGTCCCGCGAATAGCCGTCGCACGCATGTATACGCGACAGCACACAACAAGTACGTTCACCTTTGTGCTGTAGCCGCAACAACAGAAAGCAAGGGCAAAAAAAAAGAAAGAGCTCTCGTACTGCTGATGTGAATGTACTTCAACTAAACGTGCCCTTCTTTTAAAACGCGACCAGGCCTTCACGCGCACTTGGCAGTTGAGCAACGACTTCACGCATGCATAAGTGGATCACGCCAAATGCCCACGTCATTTCGCCTTTCTCTCGTCCTATCGTCGCGTCATGTGTTCTACGTGAGACCATGACACCCTCTGTTATAGTTATGGGTGAACATAAAATAGCGACTAGTGAACGAAAGGTCAGGGCGTTTACTGGAGCCGTACCGCGGGCGGTGACGCACATACACTTTAATAATAGCAATGAATTGTTGTGACGTCTGTGGTAGGCGCTTAGAATACGCTTGGCGCTGCACTGTCCTCCACGAAGCGTGCAGAAACATTTGTTAACGATAGCATTCACTCGCGTTGATTAGAGGTTATCATTTGAGCAATTAGTTTTGGAATAACGGCCTTCCATGACGTCGCATCAGAATATATGCATGCATATTTCTGAATTTATTAACCTGCGCAAACTACGCTAGTACTAACTAATGTCATCTACAACTCTGTGCTTTGCACTGCTGCAATAGTCTCCAGCGTTATCAACACTTAGGTGTGTGTGTGTGTGTGTGTGTGTGTGTGTGTGTGTGTGTGTGTGTGTGTGTGTGTGTGTGTGTGTGTGTGTGTGTGTGTGTGTGTGTGTGTGTGTGTGTGTGTGTCTGTGTGTCTGTGTGTCTGTGTGTGTGTGTGTGTGCGTGTGCGTGTGCGTGTGCGTGTGTGTGTGCGCATGTGTGTGTGTGTGAGAGAGAGAGAGAGAGAGAGAAAGAAAAAGCGTGCATGCGTGCGTTTAGGACACCCTGTGCGTTCTCTACACGACGTCAACGGCCTAAATGTTATTAGAAAATGTGCTTGGTTTGTACAGAAAGTTACACCCGCATTTAATAAACGCAGCGTGACGAGATACCCCTGTAGAGGAGGGACTATATGGGCTGGTAAGTTATGCTCGCTGTGCAGACACCGCGAAAAAACGGGACATAGGAAGATAGGCGACGAAAGGCGCAGCACTGAAAAACTGCAGCACCACATGTGTTGCTTGAGGACATTGATAAATTGTGTCTCGTTAGCGACAGGAGCTCGTTGGCTATTGCGCCTCGACTGCGCAAGACCTCTCAAAATGGCAGCAGCAGCGCATATAGCCAGCGCTTTTCGCGAGCAAGCGCTGGAGAACTACGCATTTTACGCAGACACCCTGACAAAAATATGCGCACGTGTGCTTCAAATATTCACCGGGTTAAACTTAGACACGGCGTGTGCACAAAAGGGCACAAAAAACAGAATAAAAGTTCGATGGAAAAGGAAAGGAAATGTGCGGGATATAGCATAAAAAAGTAAATGAAACTAACGGAAGTGAGAACGGCGTTGGGAAGGAGCTCGGCGAAGCGAACAAAAACATCGGATACGCAAAATACACGGATAAAGTTTCCGCGCCGAGCAGTCGGCTGCACGAAAGTTTTAATGAGAAACGAACGGAAACGACCCACGCATCGAGAGCGGCGACGCGGTCATTCCCACGTGCCTTCGCTAATCCACTCGGTTTCTGCGTTTAGCGGAGTGACGTGTAGTTCGTTACTCGGTTCTTCCATCGCAGCGCGCGAGAGGGCCGACAACAACGTGGGTTGAGTCGTTGTACTCACGCGGAGCCTTCATTCTCCCAACGACGACAATCGAGATGAATAATTTTAGCAACTCTACATTCAAGGGCTGCACTGCATGTTCAGAGATTTCTTTTGAGGCGTCAACGAGAGGACGTTACATGGCGAGCATTTTTAGAAACACCCACGAGCCACCACTGAAACGCGAACATAAGGGTGCTTTTTTTTGTTTTTTAAGAGTGACGCGACTTTCTAGAGTTATATATAAAGTTCGAGACTAACAATTCAAAGAAGAAGACTTCCTTTTTTACCTAGACAATTATTGCTTCAGCGCCACATATGGCAAAGCCTGCCCTCATCCTCCCTTCCAATGGTTTCAAACAGTCGAACGTTTTTTTATTTTTAATTCATTTCTCGCTGGAGTAAAAATAAATGAAGTCGTACTCCTCTCCACTCGGTCGGTAGGATCAAAATAAAATTTCCGACACAAAAAAGAGTATCTGTAGTAACACAGACAGCGAAGCGCGGGAGTGAATTCCAAAGTTCTCTTAACACAGCCCACATACAAGCATGACACGCACTTTCATCATTAATTCCCTCAGTACTCATTAGAAATATTAGTGTCTTTATAAAAACGTTGAAGCACATTCAGTGCTAATATAGCTGAATCGCTCGAAAGCCCTCGTCGGTTACATCCACGCACTCGTTAAAGATATACGCTTGCCTTCTGCAGCACTGTCACACTGGGATATATGACCAGATTTTCAGGGACCCGAGTGCACTGCACGTGATGTTATTGAGGCGTGTTTACTTTCGGAGGCGCTGTTTCGGCAAGGTGCTGTGAAAGTCGTTGCATGACTATCCGGCAAACATACCACGATCGGGTACGCTTGGAAGTCACCTCCATAAAAGCTGCGCCAGGTATACGCAGAGCGTCGTGGTGCATGCGAACAGACCTGCGAAGATACGTAAAACGACGCCACTCACTTGATATGGTGCGAAGAGTGCTCAGCGGAGACACGATGTCCTCCATGAGGTGCCTGTTCCGCTGCAAGAAAGAAGAGAAGTGAGTCTCACCTAAGTGTAGAGTGCCACTGCATTGCGACACGCGATGATAACGCGACAGTTTCGTAGTTTGGTAACGCGACAGTTTGGTAACGCGACAGTTTCGCGACAGTTTTTAATACCAAACGGACTTACGGAGTTGATCGCATTTAGGTAAAACACATTGGTAATGCCCAAGAAGGCATTACACAAAACTACAAGAGCCCACGTCGTATCCCATAAGACACAAATCAAACCTCAGACCAACATCATAGACAAAAGTAGGAAGCCATTTGCCAGCTTTTGTCATATTGTGTCATACACGGTAAATTTCAGTCGGGAAGAAGGAAGTGAAGTCGGGTCAGCGAGAGTGCTGCTGAGGCGTTTCTCTAAAATGTAGACAACCTTGTACGAATCGAAAATATGGCGGCACATATGCGGCTCCCTTACGAATGAGCTTTTGGCAGACGCTGATGCTTTAATTTATTTTCACAACTCTCTCTCCCTCTCTATTTTATATTTTTATTTTATCTGCACTATTCTTATCGTCTTTCTTTTATCCTGTCTCTAAAATCAGGGTAGGAAACCAAGAAGGTCTTCCCCCGCTTAACCTTTTTGACTTCTTCATTCCTTTGCAGCCTCACGCGTATACAGTCAAACATAAGTACACCAGGCCAACCTTCAGAAGAAAATGTATAGGAAAAGAAAGAAAAAAAGAAGAGAAAGAAAGGAGGGCATGGAATAGGGGACACATATAGAGAACAAACGTGTTACGATTATTCATCATCATTCCACTTGTCGCCCCCAGGTTTTTTGCTTGCAATATGCACGACAAAAGGTCCCCGAAATCGCAAAAATAATACAAGTCTGCTTCCTCATTCCGGATTTTTCATAGAAGATGATGTTCGAACCATATATCCCCCTGCGCTTGCAAGTATCTCTCCTACCTTAGAAGTGTGGCAGCTTGGGCTAGTTGGTATGACATGACGATAGTTATAGCGCGAGAACAAAACGACGACACAGAGACAACGACACAGAGACAAGAAGGACACGAAAGACACGAGAGTGACCTTCTTATCCCTGTGTCGTCGTTTTGTTCTCGCGCTATAACTATCGTCTCTCCTACCGTTCCTCTTTATCTAAGAACGTTGCCACATTGCCAATGTTTCTGTCGCTTCAAAGAATTCACCGCCCGCGCCCCCGCTTACCTGTATTGACGGCCGACTTAGCAGAAAATAATAAAAATAGTTATTGTAATCAATATTTTTACCGCATCCGCTTTCCATGGTTCCTTCAGGCGCGCTCGTATTGAATAAATGATAGCAGCAGTTCCACAGAGAGAATGAAATATGATCGTCGCGAAGCAAACGGTCGTTTCACTTCCGCAAACAATCTCACACAGAGGGGAAAAAAAACAATACTGCAGGGAATAAGTAAATGAGACACCGAACAGAATGGTAATGTACTTTCTGGTGACTTTCGGAGGGATGCAGACTTCGTTGCCGGCGCCGTTCCAACAAACAACCACAGACAGCACACAAAACGTCGACTTGAGCCGCGGAGAAATTGCCGGTGTCGTACGAACGAAGAAACGTAAGAGCGTACTCGCAAACACGATCAGGAGCACGAAGACTCGGCAGCCGATGCAGACAGCAAGACTCGCGAGAAGTTGGAGCACGTTCGCCGGCACAATGAGAAAGCAAGCGGCTGCCGACCGATTCTCCTCGCAAACTTTTCAGAACAGCGCCGATGCAGTCACGTAAAAACGAAAAAAAGAAATAAAAACTACCTAGACGCGAGTGCTGCAAACGAAATTATGAACGAAAACACACGCTGCTGGCTCAAACCGAATCTTGGTGGGAGGTAAAAAGAAACAAAGCAGTCGCTGAAAGGAACGTCAAGTCGACTGGGGAGCTTATTTTCTATCTCTCTCTTCTTCACTTTTTTCTTTTTTGTTTGACCGCGAGCACAAAGACTTCGCTGTTCAAATCTTCACTGAGCCGATGTAGCCGTGTATAGGGTCGTTTTTAATGCCGTTTTAGAATAATGACGCCGCGAAAATGTCGTGCCCTTTGACCATGGTGCCTTTGACGTTTGCCCGTGTTTTGTTTTCCGTTCGCTTTACCCTGTACAAACAGCTTGGTCGGATACAAGAAGCCGAACTCCTCCTGCACGGCCGATGTTAAAAAAAACAAGAGAGAGAAAGTGGTCATGTGTTCTTGGCTGCGGAGCTTAGAGAGGTCTAAATGTAAACAGGCGGCGGAAACTTAGCCCCGTCATTTTCCCCACGAAATGTGAACAGAATATTTAGTTAAGATATACAATCGCCTTACCATGTACGGTCGCCTCATTTATTGTTTAAACTGATTGAAACAATCCAGCGGATAGTTTTTTTATTCGAGAACGTGAAAATATATTTCGTAAAATAAACCGGCAGTCACCAAATATAAAAGGCTTCAGACACCACAGTGCGGTAGAGGAGGCGATTCCAATAACACTAAAAACAGATTCTTTTAAAATTTGCAAGGTGCTTAGCAGCAGGAAAACAAAACAAAATTGACGATGCGATAAGCACGCGGCAAGCGACACTGCATCTATTTTAAGTGTGAATACACTTTATAAGCGACCCCAAACCATCCACCGCCGTCGGCGGCGTCCGCAGTCTTCTCTCTATCTTTAAAAGAAAGAGGACTTGGCGGGCTGCAGCGCGACGCTCTACCGAATAAGCCACGGACGCGACGCTGATATCGGTGTCAGTAACGCGCCTTATACCCCCTCCCCCTTCGCTCGCTCTTCCGCTCTCCTCGCTCGCTGCATCTGCGCGCGCACCCCTCTCTCTCGCGCGCCCACCTTCTCTCTCAGTCTCCCGTCGAGAGCGGGTCGTGAGGGGGAGTAAAGTTAAAATCCGTTGGCATTCGCCAGTGAGTTAACGTAAACTCCCCGTGTGATCAAATTGCGATTCCCAGGAACCATTACACCATAAAGGCACCATAGAGTGATTAATAAATATAATAGTGCGAATTAATAAATACCCCTCATAGCATCACCCCGTGTATTCGCATTTAACCATGTTCACCATCGGGGAAATGCTTGGGAGTTTTTTGCCTCGGACAGTTGTCGCCTGTCGCTCTAAACGTGCTGCTGAACGCGTCGAACGTGAACGCAGTTGTGGTTGCGTGCAGTGGCAGAAGCCTGATAGCGACAACCACTTGAAGGAACTCAGTGAAGACTACGCGCTATGGTAGCTTAGCGGGGAAGGTGTAACGCTTCTGACGTCAAGGTCGCTGATTCGATTCCCGGTCAAATTTGAATTTCCTCTTCGTTTCAATTTATATTCGTTTTTGGTTACAATGCTGTCCAATCATGGCTCGAAACCGTCGATTTGTAAGACGACGTCCCTAAGCACCGACAATGATGATGAGTAATTCAACATTGTGAATTTAGTCTTTGAGACTAAACATAATAAAAGAACACGCGCATACGGGAGAATATCAGGGCTCCAACATTCCAGCATTTATGTTGCCTAGATATACTTCCATGCCCGTACACCTGCCTTCGTTTAGATGCGAAGCAGCTCTTGACTCACGTGTGTAACGCCGTACGTACGTCCGCTCGTACGAATGCGCCGCAACGTGTTTCCCGCGCCACAGGTGTTGGAGTGGTGCCAAGTAGGTCACACCGCAGCTGCGCGTCGACGTCACCCTCCCCTCACACACTTCCCTCGCAGGTGCGCGCTGACGTCATTTTCTCTCTAACTCGCAGCACGCTCGCCTCGGCGGCTGCAGCCACCGGCTGCTGCCCCCGCCCGCAGCACTAGTCGCAGGGGGAAACGTACTGGTCTGTGGTGTACGACTACTCCACAACTCAACCGTAGATGCTGGTTTACGTCGCGCTAAACAGGTGAGTTTACCTCGACAACCTTCACATGACAAACGCCGATGGAGACCACTGCTTCGACATCCGACGAGAGAACATCGACAGGAACATCGTCGATGAGTCCAAGCGACCCGACAACCACCAACTCGAGACCATCGCTTCGCGTTACCTATACTCACTGCAACAAGACGCCGAGGTTATCCTCGCGCTGCTAAACGTTCGCTCACTCGACGCTCACGCCCAGGACGACGTCCTAGCCACAGAATCAACGTGCTGCGTCTCGTGGAAACGTGGAACGCCGCCGCCCTGAACATCGAAGGTTAGGACGCCGTTACGTACGCCGCCTCCGAACGTTCGGCGGCGGGAGTATTCGCCGTTTACGCTCGGAGCCCGCGTGCGCTACGCGTGTCTAACGTCAACCTGAAAGATCGATAGGCGACATCTCGACGCTTCCGCTTCGAGTGCGTGGCCGAGCGGGTCGGCGACGTCTCGATCATCACGCTGTACCGCGCTTCAAACCTGTTGCAGGTACAGGTTCGGTGCTGCCTGGAGAAGACGCTGACTGCGAGGAGGCGTGTCGACGCGTGCTTCTTATACCAGCGGGAGACTTCAATGTTGACGTCAGTGGAGGAGGAGAAGAATGGCTCGTCGATTACGTGCGTGACGTGCACTCGCTCAAGTGCGTGTTGGCAGCGGAACGGAAACTACCCTTCACGAAAAGAGGTACTTGCATCGATCTGGTAATTGCCAACTTAGGCGTCACATGTCTGCAGGAACTTCTTAGCGTGCACTTCACCGATCACAAGGCCGTGGTAGTCAAGGCGAAACGCACGCCTGCTCCGGTCCAGAGCCCGTGTCTCATTACGATTTGTGGGGTTTAACGTCCCGAAACCACCACATGATTATAAGAGACGCCGTAGTGAAGGGCTTCGGAAATTTCGACCACCTGGCATTCTTTAACGTGCACCCAAACATGAGTACACGGGCCTACAACATTTCCACCTCCATCGGAAATGCAACCGCCACAGCCGGGATTCAGCAGCCGAGCACCTTAGCCGCTAGACCACCGTGGCGGGTCGGCTCCCGTGTCTCGACTGCGAAGAAACGACGACTACGAATAGTTGCCAA